GGTATCGTTTAACTCACCGGGTACTTCTAACACGCCCGATTTAGAAGATGACGAGGAGAGTATTCGAAGCGGACGAGACTCCCATCGTCGTACACCCGCTACGCCTGGTTCGGAACAATGGCAGTCTGATGATAGTAAGCTCAACCGCCGAAAATCATTCGTTGACCGTGGCGTATGGGCCAATCGTCCACCCCCCGAGGCTTTGCTCAGCAACCTTGATGCTTTCTTCCCCGAACTTGATCTTGATCAACCTGTACTCGACGAGAATGAGCTTCCTGTGTCGCCTATACCTGAGCATGAGGAATTTCCCGGTGGGATCAGTAAAGCAGGTCCATCCACATTGGGTGTTAACCCTCTGGTGCCTGCTGCTGAAACCGGTACTACAAAATCTTCAGTGTACAATGAGAGCGATACCTTAGGCTCAGACGAGTCTACGTTAAAAGCACTTGAACGTCCTCCTTCAATTGCCTCGGTCGCAACACGGAACATGCAGCGTTCTAGCGGACTTGGCCGAATGAAGTCAATTCGAGAGGTAGCACGAGGTGCACATGAAGCGAACAAGCGTTATACCACGTCCTCGGCCGGTGCTGGTGCTGGTGCATCGTCGATGATCCAACGGCGGAAAAGCACCAAGATGTTTGGCGCTAACGTCGTACAAATACGTCCTGAACGCGGCTCGATGATTGTACCACAGATTCCCCAAGACGTCCTACCGAAGCGACAGACTACTTTCCGGTGGTTCAAGGGTGAGCTCATCGGTAAAGGAACATACGGACGCGTATATCTCGGTATGAACGCAACGACAGGTGAATTCTTGGCCGTCAAAGAGGTTGAAGTCAACCCGAAAGCTGCGGCCGGTGATAAGAACAAAATGAAGGAGCTACTAAAAGCCCTAGACCAGGAAATAGACACGATGCAGAACTTGGACCACGTAAATATTGTACAGTATCTTGGTTGCGAGAGGAAGGAAACGAGCATAAGCATCTTTCTGGAGTACATTTCTGGTGGTAGCATTGGGTCCTGTCTGCGCAAGCACGGCAAGTTCGAGGAACCGGTGGTGAGCTCATTAACGCGACAGGCGCTCTCTGGTCTAGCCTATCTACACCGAGAAGGGATCCTACATCGGGACTTGAAGGCCGATAACATTCTGCTAGACGTGGACGGGACATGCAAAATTTCCGATTTCGGAATAAGCAAGAAGACGGACAACATTTATGGTAACGACAAGACTAACTCGATGCAAGGGTCGGTATTCTGGATGGCTCCCGAAGTGATCCGATCCCAAGGTGAAGGTTACAGCGCTAAGGTTGATATTTGGAGCTTGGGATGTGTGGTCTTGGAGATGTTCGCTGGCAGAAGACCCTGGAGCAAGGAGGAGGCTGTCGGCGCGATTTACAAAATTGCAAATGGCGAGACGCCACCAATTGCAGACGATGTGCGCGAGGCGATCAGTCCCTACGCCCTGGGATTTATGCTGGACTGTTTTACAGTGTATGTGCTTCCCATCTACAAATACTCCCAAATGATAAACTGACAAGGTCACAGTGATCCCAGGGACCGCCCCACTGCCGAGCGCCTGCTAAGACAGCACGAGTTTTGCGAGCTCGACGCGGACTACAACTTCTTCGATACCGAACTTTACGCCAAGATCAGGGGTACTTTTCAGTAGATGTACAACTCGGAAAGCATGTCAGTAATGTTGGACACGATGACGGACTATTATAGATTATGGACTGTTTGGGTTAGGTAATTATTGTGCTATGACTTCTTGAACTGCCATAGTGAGTACTTGAATGCACTAGGCTAAACGCAACGAACTACTATCCGGTCTATATCGACGCAGAGGCAAATATGGATGGATGAAATCCTATTCTGGTACCCGGTATAGATATATGGGAGGGATTTGTATAGCATTTGTACGTTTTTCGAAATCATTCGCTCCTTTGCAGATCCAGCGCGGCGTTCGAGGGAGGCAAGATTTGGGGCAGCTGAGCACAATTGGATGTTCTATAAGGGCTGGGCCTAGAAGTGAGCGTTGCGTGCGTACTTTTAAGTGTATACATGCCTAGGTATGTATGTACGTAGCTAACTATTCATATGAACAATTTCATAACAGGTACCTAAGTGGTATAAACGATGCATGTTCACACGATTAAGCCTTCGATAGTAGAACAGTGAATTTCTAGCGGAGTTAAGATAGAGTATAATATAATAATGATACCCTTAGCGGAGAAGAGAAATGACAGTGTTAATCATTCATTTGATTTCAAGGCCACCTAGCATAAGGCATCAGACCATTAGGAATACTGATCATTTGTTACTCCTTCTTTTGCCTAGGAGTAAATAAGGGGACGATAAGGTAGCAACGCTAATAGGTCACCGGTTAACAAGTCATGAGTTGAAGAAATACGGTTAGGAAATTAAGTATTAAATTAAGTATTTAAATGACCATTTCGTAGGTCTCAATTAGAAACAAATGCTTTCATAAGTTAATGAAGTTACATAACAACATAAGAGTACCTTATAATTCCTTGTTGGACTCTAAAGCAACTCCAAGTGGTTAGATCCATCATAGGGTAACCTCTTATTTATTGATTCTTCAGTCCGCGTCGAACAAACCAGGTTCAACGTTCAATATATTAAGGAGGTTGATTTAGTATTAGGTTACATAGCTGCCGGGATAGGGCTCGGATTCAGGATTATGTAGGTTACCTAGGTAGGTACCTAAGGTAGTAAATAGTACTTCATAATCTAGCAAATTTATATCCGCTTATAGTGTTACTCTAGCTACAGATTCACTTCATTACTCGGATGATGCTTAGCTTCGGGTATTTCTCAACTCTACCTTGTAAAATAGGCATTCTCATACTGATGATTTACTTTCTATGACGGCTACCTACGTATCAAAAGAAAACACATAAATAATTTCCGTCAAAATTGCATTGATTTCGAAATAAACCACTTACGGTATTAGATCACATAGATCTGTATTAAACCGGCTAGTAACGGACGACACTAGTTTGTAAACCCCTTGTTTGGGTCCCCGAGGGGTACGGTTATCATCGTGCTACAGCAAATAAATGAGTGCGGGAGTACTGTTAGTTCGTCGCTAGAACTTCTTTGTCTTGCTTGAAACCAGTAGGGATCCTCGGTAGCCAACCCCTTGGGATCTAAGAGGTACCCAAGAGAAACATGATGTTCAGGTATGCAGTGTGTAACTTGGATCCCTCCCTTCAACAACAGCTTTAATATGAGTTCTTTCGAGCCTTTCCACGCAAAACCCCCAAGCTCAGCTAGCTGAAGCCTGACATATAGTCCATTCTCATACAATACACGTACATGATGCCTCCTGAAAACCACGCCGCGTATCTCGTGAACCCACGCGCCAGACCGCTTGAAGTTAAATCTGCACCGTATACAGCCCCCGGACCTGACGAAATTGTTGTCAAGAACGGTGCTATTGCTATCAATCCAGTAGACTACGGCAAGCAGTTGGGTGGTGACCACCTGCTCGGCTGGCTTAAGTACCCGATAGTCCTCGGAAGCGATGTAGCTGGCCAAGTCGTTGAGGTTGGAATAGGGGGCAAGGCAGCCAATCTGTTTAAACTCGGCGACCGAGTCGTAGGCCATGCTGTTGGCATGGATAAACGATCTTCTAAACCATCAGAAGGCGCATTCCAAGAATACACCATACTCCGGAGCCATTTAGCTGCAAAAATTCCAGACGATCTACCATACGAGAAGGCCTGTGTCTTACCCATGGGAATTTCCACAGCCTCCTGTGGCCTCTTCATGAAGGATTATGCCGCGCTAAGACATCCTATATCACCGTATGAACACCCTAGCAACCAGACGCCGCCAACTGCATTCATCGTATGGGGTGGCTCGACAAGTGTCGGAACCAACGCCATCCAACTTGCAAAAGCCGCTGGATACGAGGTCCTCACAACAGCGTCACCTAGAAACTTTGAGTATGTGAGTGAGCTAGGAGCATCACAGGTCTTCGACTACAATGATCCAAACACTCCCAGTGCTATAATAGCTGTGCTAAAGAATAAGACCTGTGCAGGTGCCATCGCTATTGGTAAGGGGTCACTTGAGGCCTGTATCGACATCGTGGCTGCGGTCCCTGGCCGCAAGTTCGTTGCGCAGACAAGCGTACCTCTCGATGCGGCGAAGGTGCCGGGGAATATCGTGGGCCTAGTTGGTGTTATGATGGGTTACATATGGTGGAACGTGTCCAGGACTTTCCACGCAAAGGTAAAGGGCGTGTCCGTGAAGTTTATCTGGGGCACCGACCTTATGGAAAACGAAGTCGGCGTGATGATCTACAATGGCTTTTTGCCTGCTGCGCTTGCCAGTGGGCAATACAAGGCAAAACCGGAGCCGCAGGTTGTAGGAAAGGGCCTGGAACATATCCAAGATGCGTTGGATATAAATATGAGAGGCGTTTCGGCTGCGAAAGTTGTAGTTACTATATGGAGGCGGATTGCAATATTGGACTTGTGATATATTGTGTAATAATTATTTGACTGACGACCAACAAAATGAAGCTATTCAGAGTTAATTTTATTGCTGTAACCCCTGAATTTGGGGTGGATCTTTTAGCTCCTGTACTAGGTACTAAGTGTGAGTTGAAAATAGACATACTGTATTAGTTAAGCTCTAGTGGCTGGTTTCGCTATGGATATAGTAACGAGCCACCTAAATTTAGCGCATGGACCAATATCCAGAGGCCGGCTGAGACAGTGTCAGCAAAAAAGGAAGACCTTTAAATACTATGCCACGGATTTAGAGATGTGTAATACTTTTGGCCCTGTCTCTCATAATAATCACAAATAATAGAAAGTAATAGAAAGGACAACTCTATAGTTAGGTAATAAAAATTTATTTTCTTATCACCCAACGTACCGATATGTTGTATTTAAATATTTGATTTAGCTTTGTTGAAAGATTTCTCGTCATATGTTCCAAGATAACCGGATATCCGAATACCTAAATCACTCGTTCGATATCTCAGATTCCTTGTCCCGTTTGGTTTTTTCTCTGATATTATCCCAACCGAAGTACCAGCCAGCAACAAACGTGGGTACAGCCATGCCAGCAGCAAAGTACCAGATCCGTTGCAAAGCATGGGAGTAAGCCCACAAGACTCCGGATAGCTGTTCTTGGCCTACGGCCTGACCCAATGCTGCTGTCGTTGTACCTGCGCTAATAACAACCTGGGGATTAACCCCTGGTGCGTCCTGCGGGATAATGTCAATTAAGCTGTTAGTGAGAATAGTCTGCGAGATGACGGTCATAATAGCTGCACTTAGATTCTGTACAAATACAAGCGTCGACATAGATGCTGGAATCATGTGTCTCGGAAGGTGATTCTGCACAGCAAGGAAGGGCTAGAACCGTGTAAAAATATCAGTCTCCTAACTTTCCCAGGGCTTGGAAAATTCGTTAACATACTATTGACATAGCAAGACCTCGACCAATACCGAATATAATTTGATATCCGATCCAAATTCCCGTAGACGTGTTAGGTGAGAGAAGACTTAGAAGACCGCATCCGGTAGAGTTAAGAATAGCACCTAATATGACGAATGGGGAGTAGTATCCAATCTTTTGAACTGAACTCTAGTTAACGATCAGTTCATTATCATTTTGAATATTTTGCTTACCCAAGGCCCCTGCCAGGATCCCAAAGACCATCTGTGACAGAATATTAGGGAGGACATCCACGCCGCTCATAAAGGGCGTAGCGGCGCGAACGGTCTGGAAGTAAATAGGTAGATAGTATGCCGTAATGAACATTGTACCGCTCAAGAACAAACCGGATACTGAGCTAGCCCACATGACACGATTTTTGATCATCGAGAGCGGCACCATGGCGTTGGCGCCCTGGTACCAGTCCCAGATCAACCATACGATAAAATCAGCGCCCGAGCCGCAGAAAAGACCAATGACCTGTGAGCTATCCCACCGGTACTGATTCCCGCCATATTGTAGCGCGAGGAGCAACATGATGACGGATGGCGCGAAGAGCACGAACCCCAGCAGGTCGAAGTCTACAATTGCATTCTTGAAGACGTCCCGCATCTTTGGTTTTGCAATATGGTCTGGAATTTGAATAAAGGCGATTATAATGGCTACGGCGCCGCCAATGGGGAGATTGAGATAGAAACCTGGATGTATTAATAATAATAAAAGAAGTATTGGCACGAGGACGGCTTACACCATCTCCAGGTTACGTATTCTGTAAAAGCGCCTCCGATGAGTGGACCAAATGCGATACCCAACTGGCCAACTAGAAACATTTCATTAGTTTACTCTATGAATCAGGATCGAATATACCTACTACTCATCAGAGACCCGACCAGAGCTTCAAGAGTTGTTAGCCAATATCTCTAAAAGATGAACTCGGGATTGTGTAAAATACCTGGTTGGCGGTGCGGTGGAATGCAAGAGTTCATAATGATAAGTGTTCCGTTGAGCAGACCCGAGCCACCCACTCCAGCAATCGCCCTCCCCCCGATAAGCATAGCCGAGGACGAAGCGGCACCACATACGGCAGAGCCGGCCTCGAAGATGATGAGGTAGATGATAAAGGACCACTTCGGGAACAATATTAGTTAGGGGCCTTTTAGGCGGTCTATTCGTCTAGTATAACAGACTTACCTTCGAGTTAAACTTGGAGTATATCTTTCCTCCAAATGGCTGTAGTGCCGAACAGGATAACTGGTATGCGCTACCGTACCACCCGACGTCTAGTAAAGAATGGAATTCGTCGGTGATATAGGGAATCGCCTGTCGAGGTTAGTCAACACGAGTGGTTTGCGTTAGGGGGCGGAGTATTGCATACGGTTGCTAGGATGGTATTGTCTAGCATGATGAGAAAGTAAACCATTGTGGTTGACACCATTACCAAATACAACTTGGGACCCTGGATATATTCGTCATGGGCATCTTCCCTTGTCTCTTTCTCCGGTTGTATAATTTCCGTGGTCGATTCATGTTTCCCGGGTCCTGAATCAGTACAAGTTTGCTCTTCAAACTTCGCATTTGAAGATGGCTTCTCCTGTGATGCTATACTGGGAGCTTTTTCTTCGTTGAATGTTTCATTGGGTGATTTATTCTCATGTGGACCTTCGTGTGTCTGAGGCACTTCATCATGTAGTGCTGTCGTGGTAGTTGTATTTGTTATTTGTTGCGAGATGTTAGGTACTGGCTTGCTTTCTTCCAAATCACCACCGGGTCCTTCGTTCGATGTTAGAGGGCCCATTGCGCTTACAAAGGACTATGGCAAATGTAAATCCCGGTGTACCTATCTTGGGTCAGTATGGAGCTATCTCAACTCTCAATTCATAGGTACCTACCTATCTATATTACTGAGAGACTAGATACGCCTGCCAATTTTCTACTTTTTTTTTCTTGATAATGTCTCGAACATGAAGCACATAGAAATATGTAATTCTAGATAGAAGAACTCAGAGAGAAAACTACAAATCCTCCAAGTTATTCAGGCTGATCCATTTTGCTAAGGAGGTAGCCGGTTAGTTTGCACATGGTTCTATGTTAGTGTCTACCTGTTATGTGAGTGTCTAGATTAATACATGCATGAAGATCCTTGGAGGACTGGGAGATTCATGATGCCGGCGAACTATCTGAAATTGGGGTATGTCCTTACTCTGTTGCACGAAAGTTTCTAATGAATTTGATGCAACTCCGGGATGGCTTTGAATATATCAGTTTAGCTCCTTTACCAATAATATGTCCCTTTCGTAATCTGGGTCCTACCCCAATGAATTTCATCTCGCCAATACTATATAAAGCCACAGGTGTGATGGCAGGGTTTCCGGAGTTTGTATCTAAGCCTCTCCGTGATCGCCGTAGCTTTTGAGTTATGTTACTAAAGTAGATTATCCGACATGATCATTGTTACGTTATCTACCCTTCGTATTTTCGGAATAGATCTTCATAGCAATATCATAGTTACTTCATTGATAGTACTAACGACATGAATAGGAATATCTACACTATCAAGCCAGTACTGGAACTGTAATAGTCAGCCGCAGTGTATATCACGCTTCTGATCACACAGACATGGCTACCAATCGAGGTGACTTGTATCCCAACAGAAAGCTCGTACCGCTATGTCCGATGGGGATTTTATGCATTTGATATGGTACTATTTCCAATCGCAAATTGTATGCCGCACAATGAAAGTGTTATAGTATCATAAGCAAATGCTGGTTTCCGTTACTAAATCACCTTCAGACATCAACACGGGGACCACCCCCATTATACACATCACATATCTTATATAGAACAGCTCTGTCATCTATATATTTTACATGTCACGCTCCTACTCGAATCTATCTCCATAGTAATACACAGCAATATTATTTCTCTCCGGGATCCGACGACGGCTTCTACGAACTTGAGAGCCAGACGTCTCTATAACTTATTCCGTATTAAGGGGATAACTAAAGCCACTTTCAGATTACGAAATGTACCTTGCTAAGAGTGGTAGGAAATCGATGTTGTGACCAATACCTCCACAGAAAATGTGAGGCTTATGGTGTCGCTATTGAAGAGAGTAACATTCATGGACATTCGGACTATTCATTCTCTCTTCTCGGCGGAGGATGTTATCACGGAGATCTAAGATCAACATTTTTACGAGAAATGCGTCTTATCTAATGATGGCATGGAAGGGTTATGTCCGAGGAGCTTTGATATGTGGAACTGTACTGGAACGGGATTCATTGAGAAGGCTCTTCGTTCAACAAATTTCCCTTTGCGGGAGTTCCCGTGTGGTATAACATCCCGTTTTCTTGGTAGTGAGTGTTAGCCCCGGAGTTATTTCTTTGGTTCTGGTGCTGGGTGAATTGAGTGATGTCAGAACAGGTGGTAGATGATATATGGTGGCGTATAGTATATAAGACTGTTCGATGATAATGGATTTAGGTGTGAAAGGAATCTAAGATACACTGCGCTTCAGTATACCCGTTTCGATACTATCTTGAAATATCTAAACTCACTATGCAGTCTGGACCTATTCTACCGCAATCCGCTCTAGGGTTGGGAGATACCCACGCCATAGACGATACGTCAAGCCGCTTTCAAGACGTTGTCGGACAGTTCCCTCAGCTCAAGACATATAGCCATGCCTTAGCTATCTTCCCCTTGAACCCGGGGGTATCTCAGGATTCCGTCGTTGCTTCGCTGAAGGATGCAATAAGCAAAATTATTTCCAAGATTCCCTGGCTCGGTGAGCAGGTAGTCCATGAAGGACAAGGGCCCGGAAATTCGGGCATCATCAGAACACGACCATTGCCCTCAGGCATTTCTAGCGGCGATATCCTGTATGTAAGGGACTGTACAAACCTCTGCCCTTCTTACGAGGAGATAATACAGCGAGGAGGCCCTCTCTCTTCACTCGATGGCAATATTCTATGCCCTTTCCCTGGCTTCCCTATGGGGTATGATGTCGAGAAGATGGGGTTTGCACCCGTAGTAGCAGTCCAAGCAAGCTTCATTAAGGGTGGTGTGATCCTTAACACCTCCAACCAGCATAACATGGTAGATACCAGTGGGGCATTCGTCTTCAATTCTTTACTTGCAACAGCAATGCGGGGCAAAGACATCCCACAGGCTTATGTCGACCAAGCCAACATAGACCGAACCAAGGTCATTCCTCTTCTGGACCCCGGACAGCCAATTCGCGACCATAGTTACCTCCTGAAGTCAGCGTTTACGCCTACGCCTGCGCCACCATCAAAACTCCCAGCTTCGCCCCTAAGATGGGCATGCTTCCGGGTTTTCCAGAAGGCCATGCCTAAGATTAAGGCAGCCGCATCGATCAAGGATGAATTCGATAGCTCGGTGACCTACATATCCAGCAATGACGCCCTGTGCGCATTGTATTGGAAGCGACTGGCCGCCGTGCGCGTCGCTAACGGTAGTGTGGCTCTTTCATCCGTGTCCAAGTTCGCGCGAGCTATCGACGTCCGCTCTGCTGTCCGCTGCCCACCGGGATATATGGGGCAAATGATTCACCACGCTATCACGCGATTCTCATACCGAGACTTAGCGTCGCCGGAATTGACATTGTCCGCTATAGCATCACGCCTACGAGCTGAGCTCAACCAGTCGTCTAACGAGTGGGCGGTGCGCAGTTATGCTACCTTTGTGGCTGGTGTTGCTGATAAGGGGGAACTGGTATACGGCGGTGGCCTCAACCAGTCTCTTGATGTTGGATCTTCGTCTGTTTCCCAGCTGGCCACCAGCTTGTTCGATTTTGGCGTTCTGGGTAAGCCCACGCTGATTCGGCGACCTAATCTGGCTCCTTTTGGCGGTGTCATGTATGTTTTACCACCCGAAGATGAGTCCCAATACTTGCCTGTTATAGTATGCTTAAGCGAGAGGGATATAGAAGGCTTGAGGCAGGATAAGGAATGGGGGGCAGCTACTCAGTATGTTGGTTAGCTGAGCACAGTACGAAGCAACAGCACAACTTCCTTGAGTACAACATGTCATTTTTTTCTAATTATTATTTGGTGCTTGGAGTTCTCCTTGTCGTCTCTCTCCTTTAAAGAACATACTATGGGCCATTTCCTCATGACTACCTCCTAACTTGACTAGATACATGTTTAAAGGCTTCGAATTACAGGAGCTGCTAGTTACGTTTATTAGAAGTTTAATAATACTGAAGTTGTCCCACGAAATCATCGCTTCATGGTTACGAGAAACTGATTACCTATAATAACTTATGTCAAAATATCGTCCCAGCAATCATGAATAAACAGACTGATTCAAATGCTTAGGACACTCTACTATCGCCAGAACATACTTGAGTTCGCCTGGAATATGGCTCAATGTTTCCCGTAGAATAAGATAAGCTCGCTGAGGCTACATTCGTGCGCAATTCTCAAGATACTCCTGAAACATCAGAGTACCGCACTCTTCATGCTACCCTAACATGTTTAGAAGAACTTCTACATCTGATCGACGGTCTAAGAATGCGATCGATAGCTTCTACTATACTTGTTACGACTTGGGTGCGCTCTAAATTGCACCGTAGTTGGAGCTTTTCTGGTTGGTGCTAGCTCATAGGGAAATTACGGGATATTAAAAGGGGCTGTTGGTTGCGATGTTAGTTTTAAGGCAAATCCATTCGAAGTATAATCTAAACCGATTTTTCACCCGACGCGGCGTTGGAATATTTACAATACAGCTTCTTTAATCCGAAGTAAATTTCCTAAAGATGCAGCTGCTTTCTTATTAACCATATCGTCACAATCTTTAAGTCGTTCATTTCTAGCCTAGAAACAGCAGCGCAAATACACTTTTACTCACCAACAATATCATTATTCCAAAGCCAGGTCTAGCCACGCCACCAAAGGTTTGAGGCGTTATTGAAGGAAGCGGATCCTAGATGTGTGAGGTAGAGGTTACCTATAATGGTCATCATATGACAGGGTGTAGAATAAACTCGGGCATAGGGGTTAGGACATAACCAAATGTGTAACTACCTCACTGCTTACCTCCTAGTATACAAATCATCGGGTACGTTGGGCTGAGTAGATGTCGACTTGATCGCATTCATTGATGACAATACGTTCGGTTGACAGTTTGGTTGCTCGCGAAACCCAATGGGATCTAACGGATGTTGCAGTATTACGGGCAGTATTACGAGGCCAAGGGTATTCTAACCAACTTTCCAAAGTTACTACATCAGCCTCCCAACCAAAAGAAGGCTATCGACAAGAAATCTCACAGCACCTATCCCAGTTACTCGCTCCTTTACTCGGCCTGGCTCAACCTAGCTTCGAGATGAACATCTTCCTCATCAGCTACTCCTTGGTATACTTCCCAGCGCTCTTCCATCTAATATCTCGTTCTCCCAGTAGAAGTCGTGCTATCGTACGCTGATATTAGTCTGAATATTATACACTCGAACTAGACTGATACCATACAAGGGGAGAAGTACAAGGCTATATTACCTATCAAACTAGCTGGGTAGATCAATTAATCTTTTTATAGGAGGTCGCCCTGGAAGAAACAGAGACGGTTAATTCTTTCAAAGGCGAAATTAGCAATAGCTTTAAAAAATAATTCGGCGAACATGCCTTGCCGCTCTAGCAAAGTTCATATCATCTGCCAACAGACCCTAGCTATAGTTTTACGCATGAGCCAGTGTTCAATGTCAAATCCCGAATACCGTCCCATACATAGTATAGCGTTAGGTTAAGCCCCGCATGAGATTTCGCTGCGCTTTGGGTCATCGACGGGAATAGGCGGGAATAAGAAGCCTGGACTATTTGACAAAGACTTGCGTCACTCGCAGCTTACTTTGGACTCGAAGCAAGTTAGTAAAGTATTTACTTAACAGCATCATTCTTTATAAAGGGATCGCACTCCATCTCGAAGTACGATGCTTTCAAAATTAAAACCTTGGCCTTTCTTTATTACCTAATTGCGACCTGTTCTTCACAATGCACTTTTCTTGTTGAATATTTCCTTATACCATGACGACTTTGACTGCCACTAGGCTTGTAGGTTTGATATAATGAAACTAATCATCTTTTCTACGATTTCTAGGGTGTCGTAAGGGGACTCCACAATCGACAATTGGAACAGCTGAAAAACAGCTAATCATACTTAGGTATTAAAACATACATCAGAAGAGATTGGCTTGCTTAGAATATCTGCTCGCAGATCTATCGAGAAATGCATACTCAAAGTCACAGCTGTTCAGGAACCCGGCGGTCATGAGATCGTGGATAAGTTGTCGATTAGATTTAAACTTGTCACCCATCATAAGCCACCCTGTCCGAGAAGAAAGATGACTTAGGTATCAAACTTTTCGCGACGCGTTAGAATATCCTTCTACTCACGAAAGTCAGCAATATGAACCCGGGGCTTGAAGAAGGGCTGAATGAAGGTCTGGAAGATGAGTGAGTTCATCTTTATCACGTACTTAGCATACCAGACACAAAACTCTCCCGTCATACTGGCTTCTTTGATCATGCTGAAATCATCTCTAAAACACGACCCCGCTGCGTCTGAATTGTACGCGATGCTAAGCACGCGTTATAGTAGCAATTATTCATATATATAATAATAGAAGACAGTAGTTGACGTAATAAGAGCCTAACATATGGTTGTCTATCGGATACCAACATAATACTGTACATTGCCCATTTAAATATGATTGGTTAAGTCTTTCTCCACCATTCCTAAGGTAGTATATTTTGAGTCTTTCCCGAGTCCTGATTCGCTAATATAAGTGGGGTGTATACATATGTCATCGGGATCTGGAAGCATTATGTCTAAATACCATTGTTACTGATAGTCCTGGTTCAAGAGATAGCTGACCGTATATCTAGGTAATTCATACCCGAAGACTACAACCAAATAATTGCGTCCTCCCTTACTAGCTTGGGACTGTAGAATTACTATAGTATTTAGAACAAGGCGAGTTGGTCCGATGATTTCTTATCGGGCACAAAAAGCCTTGTAAATTGAATGCAAATCTTACTGAAGTAAGCGTATTAGTGTGAATCTTACTCGAGTAAGCGGCGTGTCAATGTGACTCTTACTCAAATAAGCGGACGTATCTAGATAGAAGAGGCGTTAGCCGGGATAGCTACTTGTCATCCTAAGTGATATGAGCGAATTAGCATACCAACGTCTAGCCAGCGGCCCCTGGAGCCAACACCCGAAGGAACGGGGTAAGCGGCTGCTTACTTCCTCGTGATGATACCTAGCCGAATCCTATACCAAATTATCAATTCGTTGGGCCAAGGGTTGGTAAGACTAGGTAGAAATACTTGGGGATATCGTAGTGACTTTAAGCAACTCAATAGAATAATGATTATACCAATTAGTCAAAAGTTCTAATAAGATTGATTTGCATGACCTAACTGCCTAGATGGAACGTTGTTCTAATTTGTAACTGTGATATAGCCTCCAGCCGCAACTCATGCAAAAGATTTTGTGCTTAGCTACTTCAAGGTTCCGACCACTTAGTGATATGTTACATTAACCTGAACCTTCAAGGCTGATCAATCAAAATTTATTAACATCTCAGCCTGCATATGCCTACCCAAGTAGAGAGAGAGCATGGACCCCTGAAATAGGATTCTTGTCTATTTGGTGTTGACTGTCAAGGTCAAGACAACCCTTGCGGTTATGGATATTGATGCTGATGTGATATAACAACTTTTCAATAAGTCAGAAGGTACTCAAATTTGTATTCTTACCTTGTTAGTATGTTTTTGATTAGAATGTTGCTATGCTTCACGTATACTAACTTTTAGGACTTAGGAGATATGCTTAGGAGGTATTGAAATATATATTGTGTCAAAACTTGTTCGGCAAATTCCCATTGCACTCACACCTTCTCACCACAATCTTAATACGTCTGCCTGCTCATGGTATTCAAGATGAAGAAGTTTGTTTCTCTCGTGTGTAATCTCGTGCTTTTTGGGACCCTCGCGACTGGTGCGAGCATTCCTAGATACTTTCAACCGTCCGCCTTTACCCGGCGCCAGTTAAATGCTACACAGGTTCAGCAGGAGCTCGGTAGTGAGCTCTCAAACACCACTTCCATCTTCGGGCCAGATGACGATCGCTTTACTGAGGCTACCACAAGGTGGAATATCTTTGCAGTGCCTAAGATTCAAGTTGTCATTGAGCCTGGCGAGGAATCTGATATATCAACTATTGTAAGTGCTATAAGTGTTATTACACTAGTCTTATAAGCTGACAATGGCCTAAGGTTACGTATTGTAATGAAAACAGTCTCGACTTTCTGACTGTAAATCGTGCTCATGGCGACACCCAAAGTCTTGGTTCCTTCAACGGCGTTCAGATCAATATGAAGAATCTTAGGAATATTGACATTCAACCTAGCGGTAAATCTGCCTGGTTTCAAGGTGGCGTCTACGATGGTCAAGCCACGACTTACCTCTGGGATCGAGGATATGTTACTACCACTGGGTCCTGCGATTGCGTGGGCATGATGTACGTTGTCCTTCTTATTATCCCTTATTATTAGGCGATAAATGCTTACAAACTTGAAATAAAAGGGGTCCAGGTCTTGGCGGCGGACACGGAAGACACGAGGGTACTCATGGCATGATTAGCGACAATATCCTTCAGCTCAATGTTGTTTTGGCTAACGGCAGTGCTATTCGAGTCAATTCCAATGAATACAGTGACCTCCTGTGGGCAATGAAGGGCGCAGGTCACAATTTTGGTATTGTTACGAGCTTTGAGATGAATATTTTCCCCCGAGGCCCGGAAACATGGCATTATCATAATTACATCTGGAAAGGTGAAAAGCTTGAAGAAATTTTTGAAGCTCTTAATATTTTCCACGGTAACGGCACGACACCTGTTAATATGGCTTTCAACTTCGGAAACTTCCAAATGAACACGACCATAACTGATAAGGAACCGGTCATCTTCTGGACTTTTGCCTATCGTGGATCCGCGGAAGAAGCCGAGAAGCACTTGACTCTATTCAACGCAATCGAAGCGGTTTACGAAGAATACGACGATGTGTCATATCCAAGGATTTCTGTTGCCCAAGGCACGGATGAAGACAGTTCCCTCTGCCAAGAAAATCAAATTAGAATCGCTGCTACTGCAGGTCTTGAAGTATACAACGTAACGGCCGAACGCCTCATATATGATGGTTTCAAAAACCGCG